ACGATGAATAGCTTCAACACTTTTGTTTTAAAAAAATAAACTGCAGAGAGGTGATGAAAGCTGTCCTCAATGAATAAAGGTACTTAGGATGCTTTAGAAGAGTTTTGGCCATCCTTAAACTTGACCAGAAAACTCACAATTTAAAAGCTTTACGAATGATTGTAGACTTAATAGACACAATATTATAGTAAGACAGGTTAAACTAATCGTTTGGGGTTTAGCTGGTTTAGAACAAACACCTTACATGACCGGTTTATCTTTTTTTCAGGTGTATGACATTGATGATGGGCTGAAAACTTTTACCTTTATGTCGCCTGACTGCTCAACTCTTCTGGTTGGGAACTGGTTTGGAGAGGTCGCCATTGTAGACAGGAGGACTCCAGGGTATGGCCCTTTTATCCACAGAGTGGATAATAATTTTTTTGTTGAATGATTTCAGTGCTGTGATGTTGTTACTCGGTAAACCATTTTTACAATAGTTGTGTCTTGTACTTCTAGGAACTCTCATGAGTCTCTTCACTCACTGAACACAAAGGCTGTTCGCAGTTTAAGCGTCCACCCTCTCCAGATGCAGTACTTTGCAGCAGCAGAAGGAAGGTAACTTCTGAATATTGGGTTTCTTCTCTGATTTCAATTTTCTATCATCCTTTTTGACATGTCTAAATGTTTTCTTTTTTCTTGCCTACAGGACTGTGAGCATTTATGACAGCAGATACCTTAAGAAGACAAACAGCAAGGCCGTGTCTCATCTGCATGGGCATTCTTTAGTCATTAACAGCGCTTATTTTTCACCTTGCTCAGGGAACAGAGTTCTCACCTCTTGCTTGGATAACCACATAAGGTGAAGCAAACTGGTTAAAGCATCTTCACCTCACAACATTTAAGCAGATGAGATTTGAACTGGTTATTATGTCAAAATGATGAAAGAGAGCACGTACAGTTAGTAAAAGTAAAATCTCATAACCATCTCTAGGAGAGAAACAAGAACTAAATGCTGGAAAATCTGATCAACTCTATCATCTCAATCAAAATGTATATATATATATATATAACTGCAACTATCCTGGAAGAAGTTTTTTTTCTTTAATCCCGGGGATCTGTGTAAAACTTCCCCAAAATCAAAAAAAAATAATATCACCGAGCTAAATTCAATCACTATGTTCAATTTAGTGGTATTTATTTCAAGCACTTAAGCATGCCTATTTCCCCTCTTCTATAATATATTTACATTTTCTTCTCTGCCTAAACAATTAAGCATTACTTGACTTGTTGCCAAAAACGTCCCCAAAACAAATGCATTGAAGTTGTGGGTCCTAACATGGCAAGAATAAAAGGTTATTCTGTACCTTTTTGTTGATTATATTTTAAACCTTTTCTTTAACTTCATAGGATATATGATACATCTTCAATGACTGCTGCACCTCCCGTCCTCAGATCCCTCAGGTACAATAATATATTTGAGTTATCGTATATTATTTTATTAATGTGTTCTTGTGTAAGTGAGCATTATGTTTCTCCTCCTTGGTTCCCCAGTCATGACATGCACACAGGTCGATGGTTGACAAAGCTGTCAGCAGTGTGGGACCCAAAGAAGGAAGACTGCTTCGTAGTGGGAAGTATGAAAAGGCCTCGCAGGGTGGAGGTGTTCCATGAGAGCGGTCGGCTGCTGCACTCCTTTATGGATGATAACCTTGCCACGGTGCTGTCGGTCACTGCCTTCCATCCCACCAGAAATGCCCTGCTGGGTGCAAATGCATCAGGTCGCATGCATGTCTTCTATAGTTGAAATGGAGGCTGATGAGTTTGCAAACACCATCGGGGGAAAGAGCACAGTACATAGTTACTGCTTATTATATTCAGAAAGGTCATCTATAAGGTGGATTAAAGAGATTAATTTAAAATGCCTGTTTTTGTTTTTGTCAGATTCTGTGGAATCATTTTCCAGATGTGATGCACTTTTATAAAATAATCATTTTTTCGGGAATCTTTTTATTTCGTCTAGATGCCTGATCTAAGGTCCTCCATAGGTCTGACTTCTCAGGTTGTTTTACTTTTACGTTCCACTATCTTGTTTTCTGTCCAATTTCTAAATGTCTCATTAAATATTTTCAGTGTTAATATTTGCTTTCTCTTTTTGGTTTTCTTAGCGAAATTACCTTAAATAATACATAGTACATCCCCCATGTTGAGGTATTCCAACTTTGAAATTAGTTCTTGTAAAATTACTTTTTCAACTGTCAAAAGTTTGATAGGACGGGTCCATTTTGTACTTGGGACAAAATGATTGGGCAAACCTGACTGTTTGTAAAGTTAAATGTTTTTATTCTTATGTTTGTGTTTGTATTTGATATCTTTAATAAACTTTTGATATTAACAAGAAAGTCAAACGTTTTCATGCTTTTAGCTTTGTCACCTGAAGGGGGCAGCGGTGTAACAAGGCGTATTGGTTTCATATGGTTCTAAATTCTATATTATAAAGTGGAAATATACCTGTTATTCAGTTGTTCGAATCATTGGATGTTACATCTGTTTAAATCCAGAGCAGCTGCAAGATATTAAGAATATTATTTATTCACAGATTACACTAGTCTTCAGTCAATAATAGGAAAGAAGCCGTGATGTTGAGAAGAAATGAATGGAGAACATATGCTTACAGAAACACTGACGTGTGCTGGAGTCAAATACAGAAATAAATATTGACGTTAGAACATGTACAACACTTAAATCTGTTTCAGACGTTTCAGTGAGATTAAACAATTCGCTTGATAATCTGTGACAGTTCAAATTTTTAATTCAGACAGGGTTGTGGATCGATCCAACTGCATTGAACAAGTGGACACAAAGTAAAAAGCACACCTTTTTATCTTTTTGTTATTTTGGAATTAAAACATTTCTAAATCCCCTTTACGAACGTCATTACAGACAATTTAGAATATGTCCCTCTTTTTTTTTAAAAACTCAAATTTGATCAATTTGCAAAAAAAGACGAAGACTTCAATGGGACTTAACAGAAAAACGTTTCTTCTGGAACAGACCGTCTGTTCAAAACATGCAGCTACATGTTTCAAAGCCCCTTAAATGATTGGTGCCCCTTGAAAGCAAAGATTTACATTTGATTAGTCAGACTTTTTTTCACATCAAAATAGGAAATATTGAGTGTCTGGCTTATTTTAAGTAATTCTAGTCCTCGAAAGGTAAAGCGTTAAACTTTCGATGCATCCCTTCCTCTAAAACACCTGAATCACCTGATCACTGTTTAACCAGGCCTCTGGAGCTGAATGCTGGACTTAGGCACCACGATTAACAACATTTAAACATTAGCACAAATCTAAAAACCAAAGATTACGCCTTGAATGATTTTTCAACTTCTATAATTTACTGGTCTAAACTGAATTAAACGATAGATACACTATATTGCCAAAAGTATTTGCTCACCTGCCTTGACTCACATATGAGCTTAAGTGACATCCCGTTCCTAATCCATAGGGTTCAATATGACGTCGGTCCACCCTTTGCAGCTAGAACAGCTTCAACTCTTCTGGGAAGGCTGTCCACAAGGTTTAGGAGTGTGTTTATGGGAATTTTTGACCATTCTTCCAGAAGCGCATTTGTGAGGTCGCACACTGATGTTGGACGAGAAGGCCTGGCTCTCAGTCTCCGCTCTAATTCATCCCAAAGGTGTTCTATCGGGTTGAGGTCAGGACTCTGTGCAGGCCAGTCAAGTTCATCCACACCAGACTCTGTCATCCATGTCTTTATGGACCTTGCTTTGTGCACTGGTGCACAGTCATGTTGGAAGAGGAAGGGGCCAGCTCCAAACTGTTCCCACAAAGTTGGGAGCATGGAATTGTCCAAAATGTCTTGGTATGCTGAAGCATTCAGAGTTCCTTTCACTGGAACTAAGGGGCCAAGCCCAGCTCCTGAAAAACAACCCCACACCATAATCCCCCCTCCACCAAACTTTACACTTGGCACAATGCAGTCAGACAAGTACCGTTCTCCTGGCAACCGCCAAACCCAGACCCGTCCATCAGATTGCCAGATGGAGAAGCGCGATTCGTCACTCCAGAGAACGCGTCTCCACTGCTCTAGAGTCCAGTGGCGGCGTGCTTTACACCACCGCATCCGACGCTTTGCATTGCACTTGGTGATGTATGGCTTGGATGCAGCTGCTCGACCATGGAAACCCATTCCATGAAGCTCTCTGCGCACTGTTCTTGAGCTAATCTGAAGGCCACATGAAGTTTGGAGGTCTGTAGTGATTGACTCTGCAGAAAGTTGGCGACCTCTTCGCACTATGCGCTTCAGCATCCGCTGACCCCGCTCCGTCAGTTTACGTGGCCTACCACTTCGTGGCTGAGTTGCTGTCGTTCCCAAACACTTCCATTTTCTTATAATACAGCTGACAGTTGACTGTGGAATATTTAGGAGCGAGGAAATTTCACGACTGGATTTGTTGCACAGGTGGCATCCTATCACAGTTCCACGCTGGAATTCACTGAGCTCCTGAGAGCGACCCATTCTTTCACAAATGTTTGTAAAAACAGTCTGCATGCCTAGGTGCTTGAATTTATACACCTGTGGCCATGGAAGTGATTGGAACACCTGATTCCAATAATTTGGATGGGTGAGCAAATACTTTTGGCAATATAGTGTATAAGAAGCAAACAAAGATAAGCAAACAAAGATATGCATCAAAACCAGACCTATACAAGGACTGTATAGGAAAAGTGGACAACCTGTTTTTCTCACGTTCTCATATTTAATCAGAGCAAACCTTTTCCTGTTTTAGATTTGTTTTGAATGCATAAATGATTAATTACTAAATACCAAAATGAGAGAATATTCTACAAAATCTGAGGAACCTCAACATTTGGTAGCTTTGCCTTTAAACTAAATTGCATTAGGAAAGTGTTTTGGCTAATCTATCACAACCGTCTAACAATAGTCTGCAGAAATATTCTTCCTGATATATGTTGAGTTGTGAGTCCGCTCAGAAAGATTGCTTGAAGCTATAATGTTTGGCAGTATGCTGCCATTGCTTGATTTGATCTGTGATTGAAACACACGCTTTGAATCAAAATACGTTCCTCTCTGGCACTGAGACCTTCCTGTTAAGTATGATGGTTGCTAATAGCCATGCTGTTTATTCTGGCCTATAGTTTGATAAAATAAAGACATCAGCTATGAAGCATTGAAAACTCTGTACCCATATATGATCCTGACTTGTGGAGGTCCGCTACTCTCTTCCTCATATCTTTTTCAAAATTCTCATTATACAACTCGGAGATGCGACATATTTGAGGCGCGCCATCATTTCACTTCCTCGCCAACCAAGGAAAAAAAATGTAAAGGTATATTAATCAGTATGTGAACTGACTTTGCAGAAAGTAATATTGTGGAATTTGGAAATAAATCACAGCGCCATTAAACAGGAAGTTGTTAGATGATTGATGTTAGATGTGGACAAAATAAAAGGCTATTAGTAAAACATTTGGTTTTAAAGGTACAAAATAAAAAGCTGGAATTTTTTTTTTCATTTACATTTTCATTTCTATGTGTAAAAAAATCTGCTCTTTAAAGGTGTAGTTTTTTTTCCGAAAACAAACATTTGACTGTATAACCTGACAAATGGAGATGGTTTGGAGTTTTTTGGTAACTAAAGACACATTATAGGTTTGCTTGCAAAAATCAGAGTAATAAGGCTGAAGTAGGTCAGCAGACTAGTAGAGCTTCATCTGTTGATGCAAACACTCTTACAGACAACAGAGGTTTCTTTGGTAAGCACGGCGATACATACTGATGTGTAGGCATTAACAATAATATAATTAGGATTTCTTAATTGGCATAAAAAAATGTTGAAGTGAAAACAATGTTGAGAAAGATATTACAGCCACTGTGAAGAGGCGTCCATAATTTAAACAGAAAGATTTTTACATAAATGAACATAGTTTAAATAAACTAAGGCTTACAAATAAATGCATGAATTAGAAAAGCAGGGTCAAACAAACTTAAATGTCTCACTTCTGTTGGTTTTCTGACATAAGAGCTAACTCTGAACAATATGAGAAAGTAGCACTAATTTAAGAATTTTACAATCAAATTTCCCTCAATAGAAATGATTTCAGATTTTTAACATTACTCCACAAAAAGACAAACTGTCTACAGATTTTAGGAGGAGAACTAAACAAACACTTGACTAGCTCTACAGCATCACAGTTCCTTACAGTTACTGTAAAGGAAGATACCAACTTCTCACACAGAAACCGATTGTGTTGTTTGGCTCTTATTTAATTAACAGTTAACCTATAACCATAACATCTTAAATGAGAGCTTATTTTATTTTGTTGACTTTAATTCTACTTTATTGTTTAGACTAAAATGAAGGTGAGACAACACCTGACAAAGACACAGCAACACAGACAAAAACATTGTTCAAACTAGCTGACAGGGTAGCACCTGCATCACTCTTCATGTCATAAAGTGATCATAAATAACTTTTTTGTAGTTGTTTTAATAGAGTATAGCCAGATTTTGGGCTCCAAGACAGATTATCTGTGTAAGAACTTGTCTACCTTCACTATTTAATATTTTCTGATTCTAAACTTTGCCTTCCATCCACACAGGTTTGTCTTCCATAAGAAGCCTTTACAAAACTCTCAACTTGTATAGGAACCTTTAAAAAGTGTGTAAAATGCCCTAAATAATTTTGTTGTATTAGCATAATGTAATTTCTTAAGTGACATGTTCTTTTTTCTTTCCCATTTTCAAGAGCAGAGAGAGAAATTGGCCCTTTTGTTGCCTCTTTTTTCATTCTCTACTGAAACTGGAAGCTTATAAATTAACACTTTCCAAACACCAATCAAAATTAAATAAAAAATAAACAAATAAATTGGCTTTATTTATTTTTTTTTAACATTTCTTCCGTATAGATCATAAGTGTGGCAAAAACTTTGGCACGGCTGATTTTCTAAAGAATAAGTTCCTCTTACAAAATAAAATGTCCCCTGCTGTATGAATACATACATTTGATTATGGATGAAAATAAGCTAAAGCTAAAGGATCTTTAGTGTTGCCAGTGTTTCTAGAAGGTGCTGTTTTTGATTGGATCTTTGTTGTTTTGAGCAAAACTAATCAGCTTTTCTGTCCTTTTTGTTTCTCACCAGAACTATCCTATTGAAATAACCACAAACATTCTAGTTGACCTCTCTCACAGCAATGTTATAAAGTATAAAGAATAGAAAAATAAAGGCAACTATGATCTCTGGCTGACCAAACACAACCTGAAAGACCCGGATCAAATCTTTGATCCACCCTGCTATTGGGACTTTTTGTGAAAATAAAATACCTTGAAATGACCTGAATCACTAAAATAAAGTGAGATTTCTTCCCCTACATATGTAGTGATAGTCATAGATAATAATTATGGCAGTCTGTGGCTTGTGACAGGAACTTCTTCCTGGGAGAAGCGGAGCCAACATAATCAAAGCTGTTGCCTTCCTCTCCCTTCTCTCCTGTTATTTCCACATATTCCATGTCCATCACCGGAGGTCTGTGTTTAGTTGTGTACTTTCTTCAGTTGCTTCACCTCATTTGCTAATGAGAAAACTACCCATCCATCGCAACTTACAGGCGAACCAGCGCCGGAGAGGGCAGAAATACTCAAAATGAAACTGCTGGAACTCAGGTGTCTTGCGGATGTCTCTCAGGAAGGCGATGTCCAGGTCGGACTCTGTCAACATGATGAGCAGCAGCAGCAGGGCGAACAACAGTCCGATAGTGACCAGGAACAGACGCAGCACGCTCAGGATGAACTTGTTAAGATCCTCTACATCAGCACCTTGTGAAGGCCTGCTACGGACCTCACCCATTGCTCTCCTTCCGGATCTGAACTCCCCTGCCTGCCCCTCTTTGAGAGCCCTCGCCTCTGATTCCTTCTCCTCATCGATGCTGCAGGGTGAGCCGTTGAGGTGGCGAGCTGAAGGAAGCTCCACCCCATGCTCTGCTACAGGAGTGGGCAGCACGCTGTCCGAGGGGCTGTAGGTCTCATCGGAGATTACTCCTGACGTGCTGGCCTCACTGCTGTCCTCCAGGTGGCCCCGGCTGGACATGAAGGAGTCGCCATGGGAGACGGAGCGCACTGGTGTGGAGTGGGCACTGTCTCGAAGAGACTCCAAACCTGAGAACACAGAAGTGGATTATTAAAACATACGGTAACAAGGGCATTTTTTATTCTTCCTTAAGAGGTTGTTTGGCTAACAATGAACCAAGAGAGTCCGCAGAGTGATATTAAAAGATGACTGAATCTGTCCAGATTCACAGTTTCTGCAAATATGCAGCCATCTTTTGTAATACCCCAAACTCTAAATCTAATTTATTGGGTACTTCTTTTTCTGTCATTAACATGGCAAATCAGTGGATGCTTACTTGTCATACTTTGTCCAAGAATGCTCCAAATGTGATTTGGTAAAGGTGGGTCACAAGTGCAGAGCTATATGTGGTCCACTTTAGGCTCGCATCCAGATAAGCAGATTCTTACTTGCCATATTTCGGCCCAGATTCGTTTAGGTAAAGCTGGACAACATTTGCAGAACCATACGTGGGAAACTTAAGGTTCACATCTGTTTTGTGTGGGCCAGATGAATATCTACAGTGCCGGATTATTGCTTTAAGTGGCCCATGTCCGTATGCTATCAGGGTTAAATAATTAGAATGCTCTTACTTATTACTTTTAATAAAAAAAAAAAATGTCAAACTTTTCATTTAAGCCCCTTTATTTTAAAGTAGCCTAACAACTCACTCTACTGCGTCTATACTACGGTAATATCCTATGGTTATCCTTCACCCCTATTCTACCTCCAAAATGAATCTCGTCCTGGTTAGAGTTTTGGTCTGCAACAGGTTTGGTTTTGTTTCATCATTTACTTTTTAATAAAGGATTTAATTAAGCTTTATTGTGGCCTATTTCATTTTTTCTGATAACTGGCTTGTTTTCAAAGCCTCTAATCCATCATTGTCTTCCTCCTCATCTTTTAGTAGCCCTTAAGACTCAATGTTGGCAGGAAATATTTTTCAATATTGTGCTCTCATAACCACAATATTTTTATAACCATCATAATGATTAATATACAATTCAGGTAAAAAGAATAATGAAAAGTAAGTGTAAAATAAAATCAGTTGCCTAACCTGGTTGCATAAGTGAACTAATTTGATAAAGCACATTAATACAAAAAAGAGCATTCCATCTATTTTCTATGCATGCTATAACTCTCAATGAAGCTGAATGGTTGAATATCTCTGCAAGCGTCTGAATATTTTGCTTCCAACACACGCTTTCAGAAATGCTCTTAATTTCATACATCTTAATGAAAAATCCCAAGAAGTACTGATACTACTACCAACATGTTTTACATTCGGTGGCGCTGCACTTACCTACCTACCTAGTTTATTTGCATCTGTGGCAAGTTATTATTTCTTACTTAAATGTATTGTGGAGGATGTTCTTTTTCCGGGTGGTTGATCAAAATAATTGGTCCTCCTAATTGTCAATCATTCTGCCGATATGTTTCCATCTCGTCCTACGTGCTAGTCCACATTTTCTCTTACTGGTGTTATGCCGAGAAATACCTGCCTTCCAAGAATTACCTACCCTCTGGCACACTGATGAGAAAAGATGAAATATGAACGAAAAGGGAACTTTTTAAACTTATTCTTAATGTTTTCATATTTCTTATGCAGGGATGCGCTTAAAATGTAAGAGTTTTTGGTGGACAGATACATTTAAATAAATATGATTTTTACTTGTATGGAGAAATGTTTCAGTTGATGTGCTACAATCAGTGTCCAGTGAATATATTCTCTGCATTTGTTATGAACACCATTCTAGATCATTTCTGACAAAATGTTAAGAATATGTTTAAAAGTTAAATTTTTGTTCATATTTCAATCTGTTTTCTCATCAATGTGTAAGAGCTTATGGCGATGCACGCTCCGTTGACATGGGAGGTAATTCTAGGCAGACAGATATTTGTTGGCATTTATCTGTTCACCAAAACTCTTAATCTTAGGGCATCCATTCATAAGAAATATGAAAACATTAAGAACATGTTTAATGTTTATATATATATATATATATATATATATATATATATATATATATATATATATATATATATATATATATATATATATTATAGACACCTGAATTTTTAAAACCAATTTTTTTATCTATCTGACCCATATCACATAAAGAAATTGTTGTGATCCAAGTTTTGCATTACAAAAACTTCAGTTTTAATTTATTTTAATTTTAACTTACCACTGTAAAGAAGGATTTACCTTTTCAAATCTTGCTATTCATCATGTATCTTTTTATTCTAAGCTTAATAATCCAGTTCTCTCCTACTTTGTTTAGTTATTATCTTTTTCTCCAGATCATTTTTCACAGGCCCTGAAAAATGTTGTGGATATATTCTTTAAAGAAGGATGCCTCCATAATATTTAATCAGAGGGTTATAACTAGCCTAAAGTTGTTAAAGAAATGAGAAGGAAATGTATTAAATAATTTACTAATTTTTGATAAAAACATACAATCACTTATATTGTTCTGTTGAATTTTTCACATCTGACAGCACAAAGACTGCACTGGAAAAGGTTTTATAAATAACACTTATTAACACAGTTTTTCATAACATGCTTGTTGATTAACTAGAATACTGATATGCTAAATTGGTTCAGGTCTCATTTGGCAAACTGGTTGTTTCATCTGGCAGTTATAAACAAATAACCAAACACAGTGGTGGCTGACCAATAGAGGGTGCTAGGGCCTTTTTGTTTTTTAGGTTTGTCACACAATATTGGACCATGCAAAACACAAATTTATCTTCACAAAGCCTCAGAAGGGCAAGAATGTTGTACAAAAAATAAACCTGTAAATTAAATTATGTTTTGTTTTTATAAAGTTTTTATAATTGTTTTTGTTGTTGGCATTCATATAAATATACTGGTGTAATAACTTAGTATACGGTAAGTTAAATTTTTTTTGGTTATACATCTTTTTTTTAAATTTATAGCCACCCCTGGAGAAAACTCCACCAGCCGCCACAGACCAAACAATCACATGTTGGGCTCCTCAAGTTTCTATTCTTGGACCACTTTAGCTTAATAACATCTGCCCTTAGCTACAGTCACACAGTGTATACATAATAACTGAGTGGATAGGTCAGATTTTCAGACAGCTTATTGCCATTTTTTCCTCTGGGTTTTTTTTTTCTGTAATAACCTTGGAATTTACCCCGCGTATAAAATCTGTTATGAACATATGCTCTTCTTGGCTGTATTCTCCTATCCACTTACACAGCTCTTAGCCAAAATAACACAAAGCGTCCATTAAACCCGACCAGCTTGGGATATTACCTGCAGAATTGGCTTGTAAATGACTGTAACCATGCATGAAGGACGGGACAGCCAGCCTGGAGGGAGATTTGGAGTTATGTCCTGACCCAGAACCAGATCCTGAGGTAGAAGATCCTCCAGGGAGGGCTGGGAAAAGTGGCAGAACCCCCAGAGCTTTGCCTAGGAGCCTGGGTCCCATAGATAACACGCGGACCTTAACTTCCCGATAGCAATGGTTGATCATACGTAGGTGAACGTTCACCTTCGTCTTGATCCGAATCAAGCACTTCACCATGATTTTACTATACAAATTTAAAAAATGAAAAGAAAAAAGAAAGAAAGCCTAACCTCAAGGCAAATGTTCAGCTAGTTATTTAACCTAGCCTTTTTTCTTGCTGCCTGTCCTGATTTTACCTTCCTGCTGTCGAATTTTACCTCAGAGTACAGAAAGTGAGCAGACCTCCTGTCTCGGGTCGGTTGGTTACAAAAAATTGCCCGGCAAGTTGGCAGAGAGAGACGAATGGCAGAACAATGAGAAAGTGACAGACAAGGCTATGAAATCCCACCTGCTACTTCCACAGTCCACATTCCCGCCTCCCTCCTATCAGCTGGGACATACGCAGCCTGACCTCTGACAGCAGGAGCTATTTTCAGGTTGTGATATTATTACCAGCTGAAATACAAGAGGAACAAAACCCATGTGGGGGACATGTATTGTTGCATTCATTTGACAAACCCTGTACTCCATGCCCGTGATGAGAGGTGGACTGGCTTGACAAAAGACCTGCATTCAATGCTCCATAGACTGGTAAAAGTTTATTAGTCTAAACAAGCTGTTCGAAAAAGGAAAAACTCTTGCAGTGAAAGCACTGGCTAAAGGTTAATAGCCAATTGGGTGGGAGAGGGGACAGTTAGCGGCCTTTATAAAGTGACAGCAAGACTTTCTCATGACAAAATCAATGCTTGAGGGAGCAGGCTGATGGGTGCCTTAAGATGGATGCGTGCTTGCTTCTGATTTTGCACATCCAACAGAGAAAGGCTGATATAAAATACAGAGAATTAGGGACACACCAGGGAGCCAGCTCATACTGAAAGGAAACATACTGAAGTCTGCTTTGACCATGCTGGGATATGTCCATTAAAATGGGATAAAATGACCCTACGTTTGATATAGACATGTAATAGACATGCCCATCCATCTTAACTGACAAACTGGGCAAGCAGAGCATTGATAAGAGAGGCAGCCAAAAGGCCCAGAGTAACCATGGAAGAGATACAGAAATCAACAGCAAAGATAAAAGAGACTGTGACAACCATTTGTTTTGTGACTCATGTCTCTACGGGAGAGCAGTGGTGGGAAACGCCAAGGTTTAAGGTTAAATATTATTGCAAGCCATGTAAGGGGCACAGCTAACAAGCAGAATAAGAGACCAAAATTAAATCTTCTTTTGGAATATGATGTTGAGGAAAACTAACATCACCCTAAATGCTCCGTCCCTATGGTATTGTAAGGTGGTGGCAGCATCATGCTATTGGAATGTTTGCTAAATAAAAATGTGTGTTTCCAAATGTTTCCAATTATTATTTAAAGATCAATCTGTCTAAGCATTAATAATAATAATAATGAAGATTTGTAGTATGCAGTAGCCTTTCCTTTCTCTTCTGTTACCATAGGGAGGTTGTCCAAAGAGTAGTTAACCAGTCTCTAATCTTTTTAATACTCTTAGTAAATGCTGAATCATTTATTGCTCAGCATTGCTAAGGTTTCCCTTTAGTCTAATATTTTTGTTTGTGACGTGTGTGAGTGTGCTAACCTTCCATAATGGAGATGTGCACAGCTCTCCTCCGGGTTCTCGGCACGCTGGTCAAACGGGGACCGTGAGTAATAGATGGACAACTCCTGCTGGGAACCATGCCAGCCCTGGCACCAAAAAAAAACAACAACCAAACAATAGATACAAAAAAGTACACATGAATAGATATAAAAAAAAAATTACCCAATTAAATCAAAATATAATAACTGGATTATTAAATAGAAATAAGGACCTGTGGATCTCAGGGGGATCCCTCTTGATTCTGGCACTTTGTTCCATAACCTCTTTTGCAACCTTTCCACTACCAAACAGAGAATGACACACCAGTCTGTTAACAATCTTTCCAAACAGTCAGATGTGTTCCTAATACAGAAATGAAACTGAATTGTACAAATGATTCAGTCATAAAGGTTGTTTGTATACCTGTATCTGAAGCGACTACCCTTGAAGAAGAGATTGCCACTGGAAACAGTGCGAACTTGACTTGATTTCTCTAACCTGTGAGCCAACAAAGGGGAATTAATCCAGTGTAGAGAGCCTCGCCAAAGTATGCAGACCCCTTGAACTTTTTCCTTTTTTAATTTGGTTACAGCCGTAAATGTATTGTAACTTATTTGTGTCATAGATTCATGCAAAGTGAAACATTGCAATCACAGCAGAGAAAAGGAATACAAGGCCATAAGGACTTCCTAGAAATGGCATAAGAATAAAAAAACTAAGCCGTTTATAAGCTGTATTATTTTCCTTTAACAACATAATTTTGTCATACTTTGTATTAATATTTCATCTAAAATTCCAAAATAGATATCCATATCCTGTCACTTACTTATAGAAGGCCTGGTTCTCTACTCCACACTTCCACAGATGCTTACAGGCCTCTGGTGTAGGTGCAAAGTAAGTAAGTATAATCTTCCTGTCCTGTAACATATAAAAATGACAACCCTTAACTTAAAGTCACATTTAACACTTCATGGCTTTTGTAGACTTTTATAGGTAGCACAAATGCTTCCAAAGAATATAACTAATTCGCTTTCAGCGCTGTAAAGATCTGTGTTGTCAAGCTTTTTGTGAAGAATTCCCATACCTCATTCTGAGTTGCATATATATGGAATGTCTTTGCTTCAAACTTGAGTTTGGTTACCTCCTCCCTGATGTGTAGAAAGAATAGATAATGAAGAGCAAATTGTAGAAGAATAAGGAATTACAAATTAGGAAAGCAGAAAAAAGGAGAAATGTTAGCAAATAAAGACACAGAAAGAGACAACTTTGGGGAAAATGTCTGGATTTGGATGTAAAAGAATGTTTCCAAGTGTTTTGAAACTTTCTAATGTAAGAAGCATGGAGGATGAGTTCAACAGGAATAGTTCGTCTAATTGGCTTGAGGATCCAGAATAAGTTACCCATAACTGTTAAATCAGTTATCTCTGGAACATGCTACTTAACTACTTGACTCATTTGTCCTCTTAAAATGAGACAAAAATCCGCAGTGATTGAACTGATATGAAGGAGAGCCTTAATGTGATTGTTTTGGTCCAGGTACTTGGATAAATATCTTATCTATGCTAACCATTTGAGGAAATGGACCCTCCTGTTTCCTTGTAGCACAGTGAATCCAAACGGAGTGAAAGCCAGAAAAGCAGGATTCCCTGACACATCCTAAAAAGAGAACAATACCATGGTTTCAGTCAGGCATTAAAACTAATTCAAAATGCTTAAGTAAATGAAAGTATCAAAACAGAAATAAATACATAAGATCTAACAATGATAAACACATTGTTTAATGTTTAGTTTTTGTTTTGAATGAAAAGATTACCTTGCATGGATGAGGGTCCACTCCATACGTCTCTAGAGTCTGGGCCTTTTGCAAGAAATTGAGCTCTGATGTTTCAGGAGTCTGACCTCTGGGAAAAAACAAATCGATTAATAGTGTATCTGGTTCAACTTAAATGTTTTAGTAGACTAGATGGTTTCTTCTAGCAACGGCTTGGCTCTACAGCCAACAAAAATACAAGGAAAGAAATCCTCAACACATAGAGCAAGTATAAGTTTAACTTGAAAACAACATGTATTTAAATTAATTTCTTCTCCTTTATTTCAATGTTTTGTCATAATTGTTTTTAATTTTTACAGTCTTTTCTGCTGAAAGACTGTAAAATTATTGTATTCTATTCTATTCTATTCTATTCTATTCTATTCTATTCTATTCTATTCTATTCTATTCTATTCTATTCTATTCTACCTAAACTAAGCAATAGCACAATAAAAAATAATAATAATTTAAAGGGTATAAAGCAATGCCACAGCTGCTGTAGTCATACTGAGCGTAATAGAAAAAAGATCAATCTCCTGCCCATGCAGCCTTCGATCTCTGATACTCAACAGTATGAAGGACTGCTAAAGGTACAAGTCATTTTTAACCCTTTTTTATTCTTAATCTTCCCCTTTTTTCAAAAAAGGTGTGAAGATTGAAAACCAAGGAAGTCTGTACTTTATATAATAAAACATATTTAAAAATCAATAGGGGGCACTGTAGGATAAAATCAATGCCTGTTTTCTTTAAGACCTACATATGCAGCACAATATACAGTAAATCCAAGGAATGCCCAAGCCATGGTTTATTTCATACCTGCAGAGTGAACCGGTAACATAAGCAGTATCAAAATATTATTTTGGAATTATCTATCCATCCATTGATATATAAACTACATGTATATAGATGTATATAACTGAGTTTCCGTCTGAGTTCCAGTAGTCATTCGGCTGGCTTTTGACTGGGATGGGCCATTTTGAATGCCTGGTACTGTTCGGATATAAACCACCATGAATAAAATTGTGTAACCATCATAGGTTTTGCCTTTGACACACATGGATATCTAAAGGATACCCGCAGCTCTTGATGCTTTTGTTGGTGTTTACTTTGCTTGTCTGTTGTCTTCTTTTTGCTTTTATGCTGTCTGTTTTCTGCTCCTCTCATCTCATACAGGTGTGGAAGCAGACTTGTAGGAGTTACTATATATCTTCTGTGTTGTGTATTTTTGCTGTTTTATTAAATTTTCTCTATTTCCTTGTACTCTTTCCTGTCTCTCTCTCACTCTCTCTTCCTCTCTCCCCTTAGTTCTTATCCTGTCTTTCTTTCTCATCTCCCTTTCCATGTCTGTTGTATACAATTTACTCCCTAAGTCTATTTCAATAAAGTTTCTTATGCAATTATCAAGCCTTATGGCAACAGTCATAATGGTCTGTTTGTCAAAGGAAAGCTGTTGAGCTATCAGCCAGCGCTGGGACATCTATTTCCATTGGCAAAACAAGAAACAAAAACAAAAAAATAAAAACATAAAAAAATAAAAAAAATAATAATGTTAGTTGAAACATGGACTGTACAGAGGTCCCTGCCTGTGGAAATTATGTATTTTTTTTTTTTACATTAAGATAAACCAGAAGGTAAACACACAGCAAATATTGAAGCGAATATAGATGAAGAATTGATTAGATAGAGGCTTTGAGTCAGCAGGTCCACATGGGATTTTTCCTCTACAGAGAGGAGGAGTGGAGCCCAGGTGCACAAGCATCCCAGTGGGTGTCACCTTACATCAGCTCAGTTTTGTGAATCTCAGCAATTCGTCGCTCCAACTTCTCTGAGTGCTTTGGGAAGAACTGGAACTTGGAGCTATAGCCCTCAGGGTGTTTCCCAGGATCATAATCTCCAATTTCAGCTGGAGAAATAAAAAGAAAGATGGTAATGAAATGTGAATCTGCAGATTATTTTCTTAAATTGAAGACCCTTAAACATCTCTCTAAGACAGATGTTCAATTATAATGGCTTTTTAGTGAAGACTTGTAATAATTCGGTGCATTCATAATAAATATTAAAAAATACATATCAAAATGATCAAACATCAAAATAGGGAAATACAAAAGCACAACATGTCAGAGAAGTACTGACCATACAAGAGTTATACTCTCAATAAAATTTTACTTAAAAACTCTAACTGAATAATCCAATATCTGGAGTTAGACGTTGCAGCAGACTGTGTAACTGTTCTCTGAGCTTGGTTAAGTGAAATGACTGATCTGAGTTTTCTAATGTTTCTAAAATGAAAAAAAAAAAGCAGATTTAATAGACTGGTGTAATATTAATTTACCATCTTTCCATCTGCTATCACAATGCAACAGTTTTTTTTAGCTGGACCAATTTCCAGCATTTTTGCATTAAGCAGCAGAAGAGAGAAGTTAAGGTTTAAGATTTCTACATCCATGCTGAAGTATCACAGGCATAGAAAGGTGTAAAGGAACATTAGGAACAATTTCTCTTTTTTGCTGCCTTAAACCGATGACTGCATTTAGATATGTGTTATTATTGGTGTATTATTACCTCCACAAATAATCAGATATATTTTTATGAGCAAAGAACTTTCTATAATTGTATACATTGGGCTAGTCACACGTTTTGGAAGCGGGATAACAATACATTTCCACTTGCTGGCAGTTCAGTGTGGCGGTGTTGATCATTTGGAGACACTAAACCAACAACTGAAAGTCTGCACTACTGCAGCACCATGCAGGACCACGCATACCCGACAGCAGCACAAGAAATGGTTTCACCATCCAAAAGAAAAGAAAAAAGAAAACTTAAAAGAAAAAAAAAACAGAAGAATAAAAAAATGTGGATAGCATCAAGAAAACCTTCTGTCAGGAATCCAGTTTGTGTGGTCTGTTTTGTGTCTGTCTCTCCCTCCACCACCAGGTGGCGCCCTGTCATTGTTGGTCCTCCCTGCACACCTGCAGCTCTTTGGATCATCTGGAGGAGTACTTAAGCAGTGGACTGTCACTACCTCGATGCCAGAGTGTTTGCCAGTTTTGGGTACTCTAGCCATGCTTAGATTAGCTGAGTCTAACCTGAGTCCTTGTTTCACTGAGTCTAACTGAGTCTTTGTCTCTCTGAACTTTAACCTTGTTTTTTTGTCTTTGCCTCTCGGCAGGAAGTCACCCTGCAAACTGGATGTTGGGTCTTCTCCCACTGGAAGGACCGTTTGAGCTTCACATTGAGCACGGGATGCAAACTGGATGTTTGGGCCTTCTTCCCCTGAAAGGATTGTTTGAGCTTCACACTGAGCAGGGGATAAATCTCCACATGTACCGTTCAAGTTCTCCTGGAAATCTAAGTGACAGTCTGCTCCATTGCTCCTCCGGGTCCAAAGAATATTTACCTGTCCACTCTTCAACGTGTCCCCTCTTCTCTGGATCAACCCACACTTACTGGATTAAAAGTGAGAGAAGAAACCCCCAAACGTGAGTCCCTCACTAGCATTATCTTTACGGCACCCAAGATTCCCACGGTCCCTGAACTAATCATTGTCATTACCTCTCCAGAATTCCTAGTTCCTGTTCACCAGTTCTTTGAGTTCCAGATTCCCCCCTTCTACCTTTTCCTCAATAAACCTGTTTAACCTTTGCCTTGCCCTCTGAGTGGTTCTCTGCATCTTGGGTCAGACCTTTAAACAATCACGACACCTTCTCCATGTAGAAGGAGCCAATAAAGGAGAAAGATTTTCAAAGGGATGCATAAGTTTCCATGTTTCCCCTGGAGAAGTAAGTGAACTGTATTGCCTAAATTAGCATAAGGCTAACTTTTTCTGTATGCTTTAATTAGACTGTGTTGCTCGTCACCATAGAGAGCATAACAAAAGATCCTGCAAACATAAGCAATCTTGTTGGAACAGAATTGTAGGTTAACGTTGGTTTAGTAGCTTTCGAAGCCACAGTCAACTCTGGCTTTATGTCACAGTAAATGTCAGCTTGTAGAGACTTCACTTCATTTCAGATGACAGGGTTACATCTGTGCTGTTTCACATATGGAAGCTACCACCGCTGCAATACATGTTTGAGGCAGTGGGGTGCTAGGGTTTACAAAATATCCCTGTAAAACTGCATAGAACTAAAGGTTCTAGAATTAGCCTGATATTTCAACAGTATTTTTTAATCTTAAAATGACTTTATGACCTGAAAAAACAATGCAATTATCAGACCCAATGCTGAAAACTGGGGGACCACCAGGTAATTCAGTATAATATATCTCTGCACTGAGATGCAGAACAGACTTTTAACACACACACTTATGTTGGCTTATTCTATTTTATACTTTTTACTACATTTTGTGTGGGAGTAAAACATGCTGCTTGCAAATTCTGCATAAATATTATGAATACCTATTATTGGCTAAAGATTGCATGACTGGGTGTAAGAGGCTGATTAAGAGTCTGTCCGATATGGGAGGATGTTGCACTGTATTTTCTTCACTTTAAAAGCACCTTTCCATGTTTTTCCCCCACAATACTGTGACAATGTAAGGGTAATTGTTGTGTTTTTTGTGTGTTTCCTTCCTATGCTGGCATTTAAGTACAGCTTGAAACTCTAAATGCCAAATAAATGCCCATTGAATGAAGAATGATTTGAATCCCTTATTGAATTCCAGGGGAGCTACATTCAACTTCATCATTACCACTAAGAAACATAGAAAATGATCACTAGCCTTTACAGGAATACCTAAATACTTAAGCACTAGCGGCTGATAACCTCAGGTACTTTTACACATGCATCATCTTTGGACAATATATATGGGTGCAGTGGGAGTGTTTAGGTTGGAGAATAAGCTAAATGCTGACAGGGCATCTGTGTAGTGAGTTAAATGTTCTAAGTGCATTGCAATTGCCTGCATTTGAATAATCCAGCATCAGCAAAACCACTCAATTCTTTTTAGTAAGAGTAGAATTTTGTTCGGTGAATCACAGTGGACATGGATGTCTAACTCTGAATTTTACAATTGCTGTTTTTTTCAACTTATCGATCTCACCAAAAGACATAACAAAAAATGCAAGAAATCATCAATACATTAACATGTATTCCCATGCATGGAGCTCTGCTGGGTGATGTGACACGCCGACAAGAATAAAGTAATCTGGTTTCATTACACTATTTCCAGTTTATCACACCTTGTAATATGTAGGCAGCCAGCAGAGCTGCATCTGATGTCTTGCAAAGGAGGCGGCCGTGGTAGAGGTCCCGCTTAACCTGCAGGAAGACGAGATATCTGCAAAGCAAAACGAAGAGATACTAAAATGATTTTGTCATTGATGTGAAATCCACTGCAAACATAAAGTTTGAGGGTTAATAATTTGATTAAAAAGATTCATAGGATAAGAAATCCTGATAAAAACAAAAATGATCTATAGATGATCCTGTTTCAATATTAAAGCAAAGTGTATGAATCTCCAATGATGTAACGAGGTAGTGTAAGTCTGTTTTTAGGTCTGATCTACAGCATCATAGGAAATTTTTAGTTTCTTCTTTTTCTTGGCAGATTTTGCACCTGATGTACCTAATGTTTACGTGCCCCTATTTAATAAACATTGTAGCTGTACAAATGTTACAGTAAAATTGTCCGTGTTACCCGTGAATTGAATTTATTCTTTAATCAGAAATTATCTATGATATCTGTTTCATCCTGAGTTAACCACCACCTGAGCTTAAGGCAAGAATACATATGCTATGTAAATAGTGTAAGTACGAAACTGGTCATAGTTAGTTAAATGTCTTTAAAAGCAAAAACATCAGTGAAAACTAAGGTGATATTTGTCTTTCATGATTCAGGATCTTTAAAAGTCTCCAGACAGAACAGATGGGTGCAGAAACAGAGGGGCTCTCGCATTTGCTTGTATTCTGCTCCATAAAGAGGAGCTCAAATGTGGGGGGGGGATTTTATTGCGTGGCAACCAGTCGAGGGATGGGTTTTAACGGAGATCTGTGCACTTGGTAGAGCTCTGGATCAGTCCTCACAGCAGTTTGTTCAGCTGTCAGAAATACCACATGGCGTGGCAGTGAAGAGAAGCTCCATGACTTCATCACAGAGAGTCTTAAATCCACTGCACGTAATCTCACTGTGCTGAGCTACGGATATTCTTAGGAATAATTTCATGTCTGCAGTAAATGTGGAAGCCTATTTACTCTTGACACACAACTCATTAAATGTCTTCCACAAGATTATAAGGTAGCGTTTTTATTATAGGTTCAAATTCTGTCCTGATATTTAGATACAACTTGTATTCAAAATAATAAAAATGGCAGATTATCAATCTTTAAGATTCCTGCTCATAAGCAGTTATTTTTGACCCAAGAATTACAAATAAAGCAACCAAAAGAAACAATCTAAAACAGAGGTTTCCAAATGTTCTGGTTCCTGACCCACAAGATAGAACCAGAAAGAATTGAGTAAAATACAAACATTTCTAACAGATCGATTGATCTATGATCTAAGTAAAAATAACAGTGACAACCAATGTATTTGTTTAATGTTTTTGTTTGTTTTTCTAAGATATGCTTTTATATCTTAAGACAAATAAAGCTGCTTCCTCATTATTTTCATAGTTTCATTTCTATAGAGCAGGGGTAACCAATTAAAAATCAGTTGACTTTGTAAATAAAAGAAAATATAAAATAAAAAATAGAACATTTTACCATTTTAAAATCTAATGTGTTTTTTTTTTAAGTAGAGAGCAACAATCGTTGAGTTTGGTATATAGACATTTTCCTGATTCACATATTTTTTATAAAACATGTGAATTTTCTTTTTTCATGACTTAATGAGAGACATGGGCTTTATGCTCCCCTGCAAGGCTTTAAACCTGGGTTTGAACGGCAACAAAGCCATTCTAAAGCACATATCAAGGTGATCATTTTGAGCCTGGATCGATATTTATTTTTAAATCATGTTCATGGTGGAGAATCCTGCTTCTGAGCAGTAGGTTAAGCCAAACATACTCAAAATGTGCAGGATCAACGTTGAGCACGCCATTTCCCTTTTCTGTTATAAGTTCACCGCAGTTCTTCCAGCAGTCCACACCTTCTTTTTACTTTTTCTCATCGTCTTCTCCTTCTTTCCCACCACCCAGCTTGCCACAGGTTTGTCTGCTGTGTCTAAAAGTAGCTTGCAGCAGCAACCCAGACTGACACAGCTCATTGGCTTATTTGTATCCTGTGCAGCCTGCTCTCAGGAGGGCTTTACCGTACAATCAGGAGAAGCGGTGCAAGTGAAATTAGATACTGCTGTCAGACAACATGCTGTAATTTATAAATGTTTTAAATCAGGTTGGGTCCGGATAAGCCAGCAGGTGGGTCAAGATCCGGACTGTGGTCCGCTAATCCGTGACCTCTGCTATAAAGGATCTAAAGACCCCATATGTAATTACCTGTAAACCCCAAGTGGGCCCACAACCCCAAGTTTGGGAACCAATGACCTAAGACATCACAGTGATACACTTTTTCAGCTACTGTCTAAAAGTTGATATATCAGTTAAAATTTTTTTTACTCATGAAAGCAGTTAGAGCTGCAGCCTAAGATCTGGTAAACCCCGGCGCCTTCATGTACTCCCCTAAGATGGGCAATACGGTCAGCGCTGACATTGGTAATACAATAATATCAATACTCCTTGTTTTTTTCCAGTGATTTATTATGGAATGAAAGATTCTTTTCAGCATTTATTTACAAATAAAAACATGCATTTTTATGTCCCTATGGGTTTGTAGAACATTTAATTGGATTTTTATCTTACAGCTTAAAGTCTTTTGAAGAATTTCTCAGTTTGTCAGAAAGAAGTTTTTTCTTTTCTTCAAAAAATCAAATCATCTGCTTTGATCAAAATCCTTCCATTGTAGCTCTGGGTTTTTGATGAAGCTACAGCCCTTTAAAATTAGTTTCCAACCTCTATCAAATACATCCATTTTGATCATCATGTATTAACATTCCTCATTTGAAAAAACATGATTAAATAGAGTTGTTCTGCTAGTTTGATCAGACTCTATTGGCGCGGTGGGTTGAAGTCCGTATGTTGCGTTCAATGGTGTCATGTAAATTAGCAGCTCCACCCGTCTCTGCTGTTCCCACAGCATGCCGATGGGAGCTGAGGCGATTTTAATGAGGGTTGCTTGCCAAGCCGTTTGACCCGGATAGACATGCATCAGTGAGCTTTTCTCACTGCCACTAAAAAATTATTGTTTCTGAGTTTAAACGGGTTTTTCTGCCAGTGGGAAAGGGGTATTATTCTTACTAAAGAAAATGTCCCTATATAATGCTGCCAGGTTTCCTATTGAGATTGTACTTTAAAAATGATATGCAGAGTGAGCTTTCTGTCAAACCAAAAATGTTTATTTAGCAGCTGCTGGAGATGCACATTAAGATTCAATAGGGAATATTAATGCAAGGTGATCTATTTTAAGGATTTTTTTCATGATAAAAAAGAAAAGAAGCAAGTGCAAAGACCAACAGCCAGAACATTACATATTTATTGAGTTATTTTCTTTACATCCTTGTATATCACACAGGTTTCCTGTTAATAGCTTAACACAACCAATATTGGTAACCTTACATTTATTTGACATTTATTAGCAGTTTCCGTGGTTACTGCTATGATTTATCTATGAATATGTGATTTTCTTGCTGCTGGGTTTTCAACAGATTTAGAGCTGCAACCAAAGATTCCTCCATGATATTGCAACAGCCCTCAACTTTTGTTTACAAGGGTCAATCATTGCATATTGTAAATGGCTTGCATTTCAGGTCAAATTGAGTTATGGCTTTTGGAAGTGGTTAAGTACTCTGGGCCACCATAGGATGCAAATGTAGGCCTCATTTTCACTTTATATAAAATATTTGGTAAATATTAGGTATAAATGATTTGGTTTGTCATATGAAATACATAAAAATGTTTAGTTGTAATATAGTAGAATATAGAAAAATTCAAGCTATAGGAAAACATTTGAAATGCACTATAGAGTCAATCTTCTTGAACAATATAAATTGGAATAATAATTTGTGTTGTTGCAACAGTAAAGTATTGATCTATCTGGACCATCATGATAAAATTATACATGTTGCTCAAATAAATGTTTTCTCTAACTTACAATGCCTCATGTTTGGTGTTCCTTTGATAAGGCCAACCAGATGAGTGTATGCAGAGGGAGGAGACGTGTCTATGAAGTTGCGCTTTGATTTTTAAAATGCAGTCTAAAAGTTTCTCTGCAGTCATCATAAGCTAGGGTCCTAATTTGGGTCAAAGCTCTGGCTGCGTCTTTGGGTACCCCCCCACTGGATCCACCAGCTCAACATAACAACACATATAGGGTCCTCCACTTGGCTTTTTTCCCCTGAGGATCTTCAAACTAATTTAAATTACTGCCTTGCTGTGTCCATCCTCTACAGCGGTGAAGCAAACTCAACAATCCTGCAATCTTCAAAGACAGTAAGCCTTAAAATTTTGCCACAGGAAGTTCATGGATGCCTGTGAGATAATAACATGAAAGCAAAACATAAGTATATTCTAACGATTTAAGGCCAGCGGTCCCAGACTTTTGGTTAGGGGATAAACAGCTTAAACAAATAAATTTTCCAATAATCGATATACTTTATTTTCTGTCTTTTTCTCCTGTTATTTACATTTTTGAACATGATTGTATTTTTCTATGCTTGTTCATGACCACACCAAAACCTTTACATTTGATCGTTGTGAATGGATCCTTATGGGTGACAGAGATGAAGTAACATCACTAACCCCTGCAAGATGCACAATGATTTCCTACCTGGTGATTTCCTCTTTTAGAGCAGCTGGGTCTGGTGGATAAAACTTGACACGCAAACACATGGTGAAAGGTGGCTGGGCTGAGACAGGAGGGCACAAATAATCAACAGTCACCTCAGTTACTGTTTTTATTTTGTTTGTTTGCAATGTTTAATTAGATTTTTATTTATCTCATCAGTCCTCATATATTTGTGCCCAGGGTAATACATAAAACTGTTAGCGCAAACGTTTAAGAAAAGCTAAGTATTAATACTTACACTTCATTTGCTTGGCAATAGATTTTGTAAACTCCAACCAGTGCTGCAAAGGGAGAGAAAGATAATAAGTAAGAACATCTAAACTATAGTTTTTTCTTATTCACTTTCTTATTTATTATTAATTAAAGACAAGTAAGAAACATCAAAACTATAGTTTTTTCATAATTTATTTAATAGGGGACAATGCATATTTATGGTCATTTACATGTAAATATACCAGATTAGCATCCCTAAAAGTCCCTAAAATAGTCCCTAAAAGGTTGAGTTATAAACATAAAATAATAAAATCGATAAAACAGCAGTAACAACGATTGAAACAGTAAGCTGTCATGGCTGTGAACAGTAAAAGCAGGGGAAGTAATTACACACACGGAGAGAGAGAGAGATGGCATTTCCGTTTAAAACAACAAGATAGAAAAGATAAGGACAAATATAGTAGTGGATCATAAAACATACAGGCCAAGGGGGACCAAAAATATTTCACTGGTGTTTAGGGCTGTAACTAACAATTATTTAGCTTAATTATTAATCTGTTGGTTATTTTTTCAATTAATTGGTTAATAATCGGACAGTAAAACTTCCTCGAAGATAAGTTTTTAAAATCTAAACAAAGGGAAACTAAAACTTTGGGTAGATTGTGGGTAGAACATATTGAGGAACTAACAGATTTTAACCGATCTTTAACACAAAATATTTATTTTTTATTTTTTTTATTTTTGTATGACTACTAGAGATTATTAGAGTGTCTTTACTCCACTTAACGTTTAATCGATTACTAAATTAGTTGATGACTATTTCAATAATCAATTAACCATTAGTTGTTAGAGTCCTACTGGAGTGAAAAAGCTAAAACTAGATAACAAGAGACTGATTAAAGATCAGAGTCCTGAAGTATTAAAGTGTTAAATGTGCAATTATATTGCCTTATATTACCTAAGCTTCTACTCAAATAAAAGTACCATTTTTTAAAACTACATAAAGTATAAAAGTAAAAGTGATGCCGGAAAAATGTTAAAGGTGTAGAGGATGATCTTTTATTTCTGGGTGGATCATCAAATAAGTGCTCCTCCTAATTGTCAATTATTCTGGTGATATGTTTGCATAAGGCTGTCCTACGTTAGCTATCTTTTTCTTTACATTTTCACTTTCAGGCGTATATGTGTGGTGAGCTACTGTTTCAGCCAGTGATTGTAGCTCATCTTTCACGCCACGGTTCTTTGAAAATGGCTGAGAGTCTTAAGAGACAAAGTGTCTATGAAGTGTATGAGAAGAAAAGAAAGGCCTTGGAAGAGGCAGATATATCCCAGAATGCTATATGCATTATTGGATTTGCTGTCACAGCGGCCCGCTGTTGCCATAGGCTGTCGCTACCCGCAGGCACCAACTAATAACAAAGATGACACAGGCGCGGTGGAGGTGGAGTTACGAGACCAATGGAGCAACAAGCAGTGATCATCTGTCCGAACGGTAAGTTAACTGAGTTCCCTATGAAGTCCACTATATAGTCCCTGCTATATATAGTGATTGAGGGAATTGGGGATTAGGGCAGATGTTCGTACACAGTAAGCTTGTATGAGCAATGCAAACAGCAACTTTTAAACAGAGCATGCACAAGGAGAAATGGGCTCATGCATGCACTTGCACACATTTAATTCTCTCCTGGGAGCGAGTACAGGCTTGTGCATGTGCATTTTTTTAAGGTGTAGAGGGTGGGTCTTACAAAAAATTTGCAAAAATCCTCCACAATACCTTTATGAACAGATGATGGATGATAATTTTGCATCATCTTGAAAAACTATTTATGTATGTAATGAACAGCAAGTTAGGTGCAGTCACAAGTCCAACAACAAAGTCATGATTGTCTGGATAAAACAAATTATTTTGATGTTTTTTAATTTTATTTTTTTTAATGCCAACAAAAATGAGTTTAAATGAAACAAAACTATTGAGTCTATTTTTGAAATGTAAGGATTAGAAAGTAGAGACAATTGCAAAATAATGTAAGGACTACAAGTAAAAAATTGTCTAAAAAAGAATTACTTCAGTAAAGTATAGATAGCCAAAATGTCGACTTAGCTAAAGTAACGAAGTATTTGTACTTTGTTACTTGTCACCATTGATGGTATTAGGAATACTCTTTTTAGGAATATGAAGTGAATCTTGCCTTGCACATAGTCCTAACACCCAGAAAGTAATAAAAGAAAAACCTAATAATAACTAGTATTAATGATAATAAGCAATTGTGTTTTTGAATGTACTTATAAAATGGATGGTAACCCAACAGTTTGCTAGTAACTCAACAAGTTAACTTGTTACTTTTATTCTGCTTTTATTTTCCTTATATTTTATTGTTTGTACCAGTTTTGCAATTTTTGGTTCTGTTTAAGTTTTGATTTTTGAGTTCTCATTGGTTTTATTTCAATGTTTTGTTGTTTTCTGGTTGTATTTGAGTTCTTATGTATTTCTTGTTACTCTTGTTGCCCTCTTGTGTCACTCTTCTTCCCCTAGTTTCCTTTTAAAGTCTTCTGTCCACACCTGCTCCCAATCTGCTGATTACCCCAGTCTTTGTTCTATTTGGCATATATATTCCTCATCTTCAGTTTCTGTTCTGTGTGTTTTCCCGGACATCTCCTGGATTTTTGTTTTCTATATTTTTTAGTGCACTTTTGCTTCTGTTGCCCTTTGAAACTGCATTAAATCTGCAAGAAACCACCTAAGCTTACGTCTCTGCATTTGGATCCTCTAAAAACATCCACACAACCTGACAAATTTATGCAAAGTACTGGTATTTGGTATAAATGTGTTATAAATGTTGTAAAAGAGGTAAGAGCTAGGAATTCATGCATTGTGTTTGGTATCGAATTCTAGGAGTAATAAGCATAAAAAAAGTTGTAGATTAAAGCATTTGTTTTTTAAAAAGACAAATAAAATTCAATCTAGGGCTTAATTGCGATTAATCGATTATTGAAATAATTGTCAACTAAATTAGTAATAAATTATTTGTTAACTGGAGTATAGAGACTCTAAAACATGCTTAAAACTGACTTAGCAACCCAAGTAGAGCAGTAAAAAAAACCTAAAAATTTTGCATTTAAGATATAAAATATTTTTCATCCATCAATATGCTCTATCGAGAACTCCTTCAGTACAAAAGTTTTAGTTTCTCCTAGTTTCTTTTCATAAAAAAATCTTCTTTAGGGAACCCTTTTCTATCGATTATTAATTGATTATTTGAAAAAATAATCGAAAGACTAATCGATTTGCAAAATAATTGTTAGTTGCAGCCCTAAATCAATTTAGCTGGAGGCTTCAGCAGAATTACGTTTAGTTTCCAGCTTTCAGCTTATGAGATCCCCTAAAACACCAGTCCCTGTGCAGACGGCAGGTCATTTAATCAGAAAGCTATATAGAAAGTAATCAGATCAGCCAGTCTTTCCATACTGCTGAGCATAATGGGTCAGTAATGAGTGGCATACTGCATCATGGAGATGCATTTAAAAACAAACACGCTATATCCTTGATAGCATTTTATGGATTTTCTTTGTATCTTTCCTTTAGTCTTTAGAATATCTGCGGGCTGATGTCTAAAAAAGTAACGTTTAGGCTGAGAGTGAAAACTATACAAGCTCTTATAAGCTTTTTGCAGTTCAACGATAAAAAAATAACCAACTATTAACATTACACAGGAATTTATTACCTTTTTCTGATATCCATAATTAACCTGCAGACTGGCCTATTTGCTCTGATAGTTTTTGTGGAGGGAAATTTCTCATTAAGCCCCTGACTGTAGTCACAGAAAATCAAGCTAATCTAATAAAATCAGTTTTGCATCATCTACTGCCAAACAGACATCAGACAGGAAGTCTGCTTCTTTTTAAAGGTGGTACTGTGTAGTAATTATTACTAAAACTAATCTAAAAACTACGGCCACATTTCTGAGCAGCCTCTTCAACAATATAGCGGAGAACATGATCCAATAACACTAAGTCCTCAGCTTTCCCTGGGACCTAAGAAAAGCTCTCCTTTAGGTGGCAGTTACATAGGTCCCTGACTGAAACAGGGCTCCACTAGATGAGCGTTCTGAAACCTTTATAACCCAAGAAACATTTTTTACTTCAGTCCAGCTGATAAAACTGCTTTGCATGACCATCCATTCAGGTAACAGTCATTTCCCACAAGTCCAACTTTAAGGTAAAGGAGCCCCACCAGAGGTGCCTTGCCCAGCACCCCAGCCTGGGAAGTTAGGAAGGCTGTGGTGCTTCTTGTCCCATAAGGCCAAGAAACGTCCATACAGTCAGAGCCCTTTCCCTAACTCCAAGGAGCAGGGATGTGAGCCTCTCATCAACTGGTATGAACCCAAACACCGGAGGGCTGAGCTGTGGGGAAGACAAGGAAATGCACCCTAACCCTCAATTTCACCCCATGGATTAAACAGCCATGACTGTGTGGAGGTGAGCCTGACTGTTTCAGCCACTATCACTCAACCTGTCCCCATGCACATGATTAGTTTATCAGCTTTGCACATAATAAGTTTGCACATGTTGCTATATAGTCAAACCTTTTTGCAATTTTATGAAAAGACCCGCCATCTGAATTTAAAACTCCAGAGAAGGAACACCTATTATTATACGTATGCGAGATCATGCATGATCCCATTCCTCTTTTTAAAAGTTGCTGCTTGCATCACTCATACAAGCTTACTTTCCAAAAGAAGATTTCTAATTTATCCACTATATCAGACTCACGTAGGACAAGCACGTAGGACGGCCTTACGTAAACATATTATCAGGGTGCTTTTGTGAGAAAGTGCTTTTTTAAAACAAGTTTTCTCCAAAATCATAAGCCATTTATTCCTGGTTTGCACAGATAATTATAGCTTTTTGGCTACCATCAGGTATTTTAGAAGACTTTTCCAAAGACAGAGCAAACACGAAAGATTTCAAAGATTACATTCAAGAAATTACAAGAGTAGAGACTTACTCTTTGTTTGTCTGGATCGACATATCTGATGCCAAAGTAATCTTTCTCCAGGAGGTTGAGGTGGTGGCAGATGAGGTCAAATAGGTACTGTCCTTTGGAATCCCGCTGAAAGAGAGATTGATTAAAATTTGTCAGCTATGTTTCTTTAGGAAGGACACTGATGAGGAGGGACGTTAAAAATGTTTAAGTTTTCAAGGTATGTCAATGTTTTAAAAAGTTTAAGAGCAGCTTAAATCTCTGTCTCACTATTTCAGGGATTAAAGTTGATAAAATAACAAAGTGCTGCCCCTCACCCACCTGTTGCCAGTCAACTGGCTAAAATTAGTCTTTTACACTTCCTGTTGCTCACAAGAAAGGCAACACTGTTACACTTTCTTAAAACTCCAGAGACCATCCAAACTCTATCTATATAAGATAAATACTTAGATAGTCTCACAATTTTAAGTAATATCAGCTTGTGTTCTTCTGAGAGCAGCACAGCAAAACAGTGCAGTATGCTGCACATAAAAACTACAGCATTCAGCCCAATTTATCCTCATGTTATTGTGAACATTCAGTGAAATGATTTTTAACTTGAAGTACAGACGCATTGGTTGAATGTCTAATCCCTGCTGTTAAACATTGTTACATAAAACCACTCCAAAAACATTTCTTATTTTCTCAATTGGAGGTCTATTTAATGAGTTATTTATTTTGAATGCTTGAGAAGTCCAACCGGTGACCAGAAAGTACTTTAATATTTCACTACCCTCAAGGGAGATATGTAAGGGCTATCAAATATTCATATCATGGCTGCAGCCATCTGCAAAGGCTTGAATAAATTTATGCTCCAGTAGAAGACCTGGAAAAACAGTGAGACAAGGTGTGGAAACTAAAATTGGAAGGCTGGGGAGAAGAAGAAGCGCTTGTCATGCAATAAATGCAGCACAGTCATCTCACTGCCATGATATCTGAATATTCTTTGTATCTAAACTTCGGGTAGGTAAAAGTAGATGTAGAGGATCACTTTTAGCAGTAAAAACTTTTTTTATGGACTAATTTTGCAACGTTAGACAACCATTTTAGTTGTGTGTTCTGATGCTATTTGGTTGAATTGCTTTAACTGATTAAACCATAAATTTAGATTTTTTGTAGAATATCCTGGCCTTAAGTTTCTGACCTAAAAGCCAAGCACTCATTGGTTTCACATAGGAAAGCAATCCATAGTAGATCAGCAAGCCCACATCTCAATACCTCAAAAAAGAAAATGTTTAAGTTATTAAGTATAAATCTGGTTTTAATTCTGCTAAGCTACTTTGGCGTGACCTTAAACTTGCTATTTGTAGTGAAAACCGTCCTTTGTGACTGAGGTAGGCAAATACTTCTTTAAAGCTACAGTGTGTAATTTTCAGCGACATTTAACGTCCAGACTGCAGACCGCAGCAACATGAACATCTCCCCCCACCGCTTCTCCCCCCCAACAGTACGGCGAGCGTTACGGGACAAAATGTCTTCCACGATGTCCGCATCACCTACCTTCTCAAGTGATGAGGTTTGTTTACATAGATAATTTTACCGATAGTATTTCATTAGTCTGTGTAGGGTATAGATTTAATGTAGACTTAAACAACTTGCCGTAGTTACTTTCGAGCGTAATGGGCGATCTCGCAATCGCTAGTTTGTTGGCTCTGCGCTGCAGTAGCGCAAAGATGTCTGCATCCATGGCTGCGAGACCCGCTGCTATGTAATTATAAATAACGAATTCTAAGGCAACGCAAATATTAAGGTTAAAAGGCTGAGCTCGTAGATGATGATAAATAACATAGTTATGTATAATATATTACATTTCTGACTGTATATCCCTGTAATTATTACACACTGTAGCTTTAAAGTATAGTTCCTACAATTGGATTTTAGATACGTGAACAAAGTATTTCTGTTTAAGTTCTAAGGAATCCTGACCAAATGGTGCAAGAACTTAAATATGGTAATTGGGAATGATTCTTTTAAACTTCTTTAATTTTATCCTGTTTCGGTTATGCATCATTTGCACTTAAGCATCCCTAATATGGGCATGAATTCAGTTGTTTTTTCCTAAATATGATACATCTTGAGGTTCAGTAGAAGTAGAGGACAGTGGGTAGCGTCCCATTTTGTCCTTTGCCAGAGACAGTGTGTTCTCATGAGAGAAAAAAAAAACTGCACAGTCAGAAAAAAAGAATGTGATGTGAGAACAAAGGGAGAAGGAGATGAGTGAGAATGAAAACAGAGAAGAGTGATCGAGAGACTGATCATTATATTTCATTGCGTATGTCAGTTAAAGACATTTTAAACCAATTTTTACAAATGTATCTATAGATACATTGTTTAAAACTGTGAAGAATATGAGGGTTTAAGATCTGATCTCAAACTCAGATGATAAGTTTTAATATTGTCAGGCTTGACTGAGATTCAATGACAAGATAAAATAGTGCTTCTTGATATTCATGGAAGCCATACCATGAATATATGCTTTCAAATGAAATCAAACTCTCATCCAATAAATTACAATATTAAAAGTTACTTAGTTATTAGTGGAGTAACTCAGTTTAGTGAGTGAAGCACATTATACAAATCATATATGAACATAGATGTTTTAAAGTCTTTCTGTCAATTATGACTCACCACTTACAGCTAAATCAGAGGAATAAAAGATATATACAGTGTTACTCGACATGTGAGGTTAATGGAAAGTATGTTTATTACTTGCTTAACATTTACCTTCCATGGCCTCTTAACCTAATAATCAAGCCTATTTTATCTAATATATTTGAAAAAATGTAATTTTTTTTCGATACATAAAGAATAGATCATCCAGAGCTAAACATGACCTTAAATCAAATTAAATTTTCTGTGTGTAGCACTGCCTAAAACTGAAGTTCTACGGATATTCAACTCTACTTTCTTTTCTCTGTTTTCATTTTCTCTGTATGTTTATAAAGCACATTCATAAAGTATAGCCCCAGGACATGCTGGTTTCTTTCGCACTAAATAAAAAAAAAGTAATGTATTATTGTTGTTGAATTATGCCACCCTTGTAAACTTTTCCAATCTGTAGACATTCAGTGTCTAATGTTGGCTTTCCATCCAGTGAGCTTTCAAATTCAATGGATGGATGGATGGAGGGAAGGTTGGTTCAGGGTATACGCCTTCATGTGCAGGATCTACTGTAGTCTTTTTCTGGTAACCCACTGCTAGGAAATTCTCTAATGATTTAACTGATCTCTATCATGGTGATGGATTTGCCTTACCATTATGAGCACATTAAAGAAATTCCTACTGTGCTCTTAGTACCCCCCCAACAAAAACAAAACAAAAGAAAAACACTGATTTGGCCCTTTATTACAAATCCCTCATGTCTTGTCTGCAATTCTGTGATTGTATCCATTTTTCACTCAAGGCGCTGCTGCTTTTGAGCTTCATCAAGGCTTGTTCAGAAAGTTTTTTTTGGTTCCTACAAAAAGAACGTGTACTTTGTTTGTTTTAATATGGTGTGCAAAAAAAAATTATTATGTTTTCCAATGCTGTAAACATTTGTATAATAAATAAATTTAAACAATAATTTGCATCAAAGCCATAGTGATCAGTGGTCATCACTTGCAACCAGCGTGCCAAACAAAGCTGCAGGTGTGTCTCAGGCCATGGATCCCAAAGGGAAAAAAGGAAGATAGCTGATGAGAAAAGAGGATTCAAAGAATGGACCAAATCATTTGCTTTCATTATCAATGCAGAAGGATTGACTGCATTTTTGCTTTGTAATGAGAGAAGAAAAAAGAAAATTTTGGAAAGGCATTTCCAGGGAAGGCATATAAATATGCAGCCTACCACCAAGTTGGGAGTGAGAGAAAAAGTGCGATTGCAGAACTTCTGGATAAATTTGAGGAGTGCAAAGATAGATGGATGGATAGTGGATTGCATCTCCGATATTGCTGCTAGTTTGGTTACAAGGATGGAAAACCATCCACAGATCAATCCAGTAGCGCTCTGATGCAGGGATGTGAACTTTCTTCGATTTTTTCCCCAAATTCTAAAATTCTAAATTCTACAAAGGAACAATGGTGACGGAGGATGTGAGATTTCAGTTCCTGCATGGTTCCTCATGACTCAATCAACTCCTCCCAACAGAAAGACGTCCACCATAGAAAGATTCCTTTATCGTGTTTCTATAATTTAATCAATGCAACAAAACCCGCGCGGTGAAGCAGCGCACGGTGAGAGCGTTCACTGCTCTTCCATCACCTCATGCTGCTATGTGACATTTGCTCCAGGATAAACATTTAATCCTGAATGCTCATTATATATTTAACCCCATATAGTCCTTTTCTATAGTGGGATAATAGACTTTGAGCCCATGTTGCCATAAGAGGCCTATATAAGACTTACATAAATTTTTGCGGCTCCAGATTTTTATTTTTTGTTTTTTTGGGCCAATATGGCTCTTTGAGCAGTTTGGGTTGCCGACCCCTGGACTAGACCATCTAAAGCTAAAACTACCATCTTTAAACTGCTATCAATAAATAAATAAAAGACTGTCAAACTGGGGTCTTTATTTAATTAATTTCTATCATTACCATGTCCACCTTCATTTATACTGTGCCAACCCGAGGGGGTGTGCATCCTCCCATTTGGGAACCCTTGCACTAATAAATCTGCCAATGCATGCTTCTATCAGTCTCCTCTGCTTGGCTTCCTGGGAAATGTTGGAGGAAAATGGCCTGTAACTGTTTCTACAGTTATATATCCAGGATTCTTGATTGGAGCATCTCCAGAGCATGTGCACCGATGTACAACTCTCATCTATCATCTTCCTTACAGTTTATCATACAGCTGAGAAAAACAATGTTTTGTAACCTCCGTATATGGTTCAATACATCATGTGACATATGGCCCCATGACATTGCTGCAGATTGCCTATATATCTTTGTGTTTAACACTGATGAAAGGGTAAGACTTCAACCAGCAAAACAAGAGCATACACTCATCATGCTCCATTGTGCCAAGCTGTGCCCTGACCAGACTGTTCCCAGGGCGCAGTGGGCTCACCCTCTATCTCCTCTGTCAGTGAGTCTATATGTCATTGTCAAGAC